CAAGTGCTGCCTGTGCGTTCCGACCACTTCCAATTAACAACTAATGAGCCTTCCAGCATCAAGCCCTCGTAACTCGACCTCTGTCTTGACAATCCGACAGCCTTGCAGAGAAAACCAGTGAAATGAGTGAACGAAGTCGTCGCCAAATCTGCCCGAAGAAATTCTTCTACACCAATCAATATTTTTATACGCACAAATGATCAAATAATCAAAATAATGAAACTACTGTCACATGTTAAGGACATTTTAGGTGGTTGAAAAAACGCTAAAAAGAGGTCTTATGCATCCAGAATGAATATAATCACGTTTTTTATCATCAGGCAAGACTGATCAATGAACATACACTTGTGGTTATGAATCACAATCATTTGCGTGTGATGTGTATTTCTAATTTTGTATATACATATTTGACAACGTTCAGTCCATACAAGCGTTGTTGACCCTGCTGTGTGTTTATCTTTCAGTCTGTTCTGGGATGTGTGTGAAGTGTGTTTGCTTTGGCAGCGTCCTGTTCGCCACAGATGGCAGCGCTCTGTGTGAAGCCTCCGCTGAGGACCGTTAGCGGGGCTGAACCTGTTCACACAAAGAGGACCGCAGTCGTATGATCCCGCAAAACAGAGTCTGTCAATGGAAACACTAATACCAGCATCCATAAAGCTCACCTTACAACTCTAGAAGTAGGATAGGTTTTTTTATTTGTACATTTGAAGTGACGTTCTGACTCTCTTTTCCCACCGAGTGATAAATGTGTTGCACCGTATCAGCTGTGGTGGAAATGGTCGTCCTCACAAACAGCTCAGAGGTCGAGGTGCTCAAAGTGTAGTAAACGTGTGTGTGTGTGTGTGTGTGTGTGTGTGTGTGTAGTTTCAACATTGTGGTTTTGTTAGCTGAGTTGTAACTGCCCTTTATTTTCAGAGGGAAACCCATAAGACGAAATATTTTTCTTCTTCCTTCTTCAAATCATAATTTTTGTAGGTTCTTGTGTTGCTTCGTTCCTGTAAATAAACCGCTGTTCTAAATGTATTATGTGGATTTACAGCATATTATTCTATAAGTCCTGTTCTCATAAGCTC